TATATATATATATATTGCTGCTATGATAATCTAAAGTACTACCTAATAATAATATTTGTACTTACTGTGCATTCTTGCGCTGAGAATACACATCTATATTTCCAAATGAATCTTTAAATTAGAAGTATATATTATATATACTATGTATAGTTCTATAATATATATATATATATATTTCTACATACCGGTTTGCATATATAGATTACACCTACGACTAACTAAGAGCTGCGGTGTACAGGCAGCTGTTTGCAGTGAAAGGGAAAGAAGTGTGTGGTATAACGGCAGTTTATTAGTGCATAATTTGTTGCATAATTTGATTAAAGCCCCTGTTGGACGCCCCGCAGCAACAGACTCTGTCACGCAGCCAGGCTTGCAAAAAAAGATATCATGTTCTGCTGCTGCTCCTGCTGCCGCTGCTGCTGCTGCTGCTGCTGCTGCTGCTAGGGTATCGTTTAGACCTTACTCTACCTTCTTTCTGAAGGAGCAGCCCTCGGTCAGCTTGCACTTCCCGCCAGTGGGCTGGCACAGCATGACGTTGCAGCTGCAAGCAAACAAAGCAGAAAAAAAAACAAAAGCATTCACTTGAATGCATGCATGCGTGGATGCATGCATTTATGCATGCACTAAACTCACTAACATGCATGTATGCATGCATGCAGTCGCTCTGCTGTACATCAACTCGCAACAGGAGCTGCAAACACCAACTTAAACACCAACTCAGTGCATGCAGACAGCCCCAACCAAACATGCATGCATGCACGCATGCATGCCTGCATGCAGACACCTCGGCACGCATGACGAGTGCAGCGCTGTCGCCTCCATTATGAAAAGCACAACGAAACAGGAATATATACAGATCAGAGATAGTAGGAGTAGACAATGCAGCGGCAGAAACTGCGGTATACTAAAGAAGCCCTTAACAGCAATTGCATGCATGCAAGCAGCAGCCCCAAACCAAAATAAAAAAAAACAACAAACGCAAACAGCAGCAGCACTTAAATCAGTTTTTCCTGCTGCTTCCTTGCAAACACACCTAGCGGTGTGCTTGGAAGGAAGCAGCAGCAAACACAGCAGCAGCAGCAGCACAAGAGACGGAGGTAGAGCAGCAGAGAGCCCGAGTGAGAACAAGATAAGATATGCAGGGAACATAATCTGCTGGTATTTAATGTTATGATATACACAGCATTGGGGTGTATATACAGCTGAAAGGAGTCAAGCATGCTGTGCTCCGCATTTGAATATTTAGTATGTGCTTACCTGCCGCATAGGACGACAGTTTGTGCATGAGAGAAGACAGTAGCGATGCTGTAGCAGCCCGGGCATTTTACGTCCATAAAGAAAGACTTAGGGTTTGGAATTAGTCTTTTTAGTTTGTGCTTCTTAGCTTCTTGAATAGGGTCCGGATGCAGCAGATCCATCTCCATTTTGCTGGCGAATGAGAGAAAAAACCGGGTAATTAGGGCTTTTTTATACGCCAGAAGGAGTTTAAAGAAAATATATGCACCTATTTTATACCATTTGCAACAAAGAAACATCTGAAAACCACCGCCAAACTTCTCTCCCAAATACCCACACCTACACGGTGTATATACACCGCAGCTTAGCGCTGTTGGGGCTGAGCCCTGCCGTACCATTCCTGCATATTTTTGGGTAAAATTACGTCGATTTAATTAACTTTTTGCGATTATTCTTTAAACTAATAGCAATGTTTATTATTTAAATTTATTTTACACAAAAATCGCAGAAAAAACAACATTTTATACCCCAGTACCGCCCCACAGACAAACAGCCCCAAAGCCAATTGCTGCATTTTCTCACCAGGTGTATACGTTGTTGCATGTTTTCTCTTTTTCAATTCCTTATTTTGCTTTGCTTTGTGTTTATTTTCATTTTATTGATGAATAAGACGAAGTATTGCAGCAATTAAGCTGAGTTTGTCCGTTGGTAGGACTTGAGTGGCTGGGGCTGTAGGGAAGGGAAGGAAGAGCCCTCTCAGTTCTTCTTTAATTTGCTTTCTCTCTCTTGTTGCTTATTCTTTTTTTAATATATTTACTTTAATTTTATTTTTGTTGAATAGGGAATTCTGAAAGGCATCCTCTTCAGCTTATTGCGCGGCTAACTGACCCGTTGGTTAGTGTGCTGTTTTATATATCTTTCTTCTTAGTTTCTTCTCTTCGTTTCTTTTCCTTGTTCGTTGCTGCAGTTGCAGCTGTCTGCAGAAGTACTTATCTATACAGCCTCCTTGGCTGTAGCCCTTGCATGCATGCAGTAGAGAGATCTGAGGTGTACATACACCGCAGCAAAGCAAAATGATTATCCCTGTCCGCTGCTTCACTTGCGGCAGAGTTATCGGTCATCTGTGGGAGCAGTACGTGGAGAAGTTGCAGAATGATGTTGATGAGGGGTAAGAAGAATTAAATTTTGTGTATTTATTGAGCTGCTGCTGCTGCTGCTGTTGATGCTGCCTCTCGTTCTGATGATGCTTCTGCTAGTGCTGCTGCTGCAGTTGCTGCTGCTGCAGTTGCGTAGGATTTAGAGTTTAAGGTTTAGATGGAAGGCGTTGGTCTTAGGGTATTTTTTGTCTTTATTTTATATCTTTATATTTTATTCCTTCTTTATTTGCTGCTGCTCTCGCCACCCCTTCATGTGCTGATCTGTTTGCTGCATTCTTATTAAATGTTGTTTAAATATTTTATTTATAGTGTTTGTAGCAGCACCATAAAAAAGAAAGAAACCTCTTCTAAACCCTAAACCCTAAACCCTAACCCTAAACCCTTATATACAAACGCTTGTTTGCATATCTCTTCTTGAGCGGCGAGAGGAGAAGGAAAGACAGATAAGACGAAGGAGAGCATACTATTATAAAGCTTTACTTTATTGTTTATTATATTTATTCGTTTTTGTTTATTTTTATTTTTATTTTTGTTTAGGGAGGCTCTGAATGACTTGGGTTTGAAGAGATACTGCTGCCGCCGTATGATATTAACGCATGCAGATTTAATAGACAAGTTGCTGGCATACAACAGTAAGTTTTTCTTTACTTTTAATAATCTTTTATATCTTTTTCTTTTTAGAGTCCTCCTCTGGCTGCTGTGCTGCTGCTTCTCTCTTTATTGTCTATCTCTTTTATTACTTCTGCTCGAGCAAAACTGCAGAGTTCGTAGCAACACGTAGCAACTCCAACTTAAAGAAGAAAGAAACCCCTTCTAAACCCTAAACCCTAAACCCTATATGAAGAGCATAATAGTATGTTCGAGCTGGTAGAGAAGTGTGATGCATGCATTTAAATATTCAATTAAATACAATATGCAGTGTACAGAGAGCTCTGGGGTGTACGCTGTTCTGTGTTTGCTGCACTTCAGTTTATGAGAAGAAAATGCCCGACGCATGACGAAGTAATATTTAATTAAAAATAAACGCAAATCAACAGCTAATCGATGGTGTAATCCAAGTTTGATTGCATTAATAGACCTCAGCTGCTGCTGCAGAGAGCAGCAGCAGCAGCAACAGCAGGAAGATGAACAGCAGCAGCAGCAGCAGCAGTGTTGTAGGTGTCTCTGCAGCGTATTCTTCTTGTTCAAATAAACACTTGTGAATTCTTCAGGTGTTATTCTAAATATTACTTTTATCTTTTTTAGTCTTTTCAGGTGTACGTACACCCTAAACTGCAACTACAACATATCTTCTATATCTTTTATAATACATACATAAATTTCATATTCTCAGCAACGGCTATCTCTGGTGTACGTACATCTACTGCAAGGAAACCACCCAGCCGTAGTATCTTCAATATTACTTTTTCAAGAACTACATAGTTAATGAATTTGTTTACAAGAGTTTTGTTTAAAAGCCCCTTGACTCGCAGGGCATTAAGCTATAACCTAGTAGTACATATTGGAGATATTACGGTGTAGTCGGATATATATATATATATATGTATATATATATGTATGTAGATATAATAATAGCTCAGGTTTCAGGTGTCAGGAGCTGCCTATACACCCGAATGGTTAATTACTTTAGATTTTCTATCGCCTGCTCTAACTCTGTCTTTCGGACCCCCACAATCGTCTGCACTGTCTTGCCGTCTTTATATAATTTAAATGTAGGCATTGCCTGCACTTCTTCGCGCTCGCATAACTCGGGGTTTTCATCGACGTCCACCTAAACACAACAAACCACATTGAAAGCAAACCTACACACACATACAATTCTAATATATGTATATATATATATATATCATATAATAGAGAATATGCATATATACATATATATGTGCATATATATATATACACGAATATGTATATAATGCATAAACCTATATAATATGTACATGCGTATATGCAGCTGTGTATATACGATGTATATATATATATATATATATATATATATAGAGGTACCCTAAACCCCCAGAACACAAGCAGATACGACAGACATGTGGGGGCAGCAGCAGAGGCAGCAGATACTGCTGCTGTTTCCTCTGCACCTCAAACTCTCTGCCCTATCTGTACTCTAACGACTGTGAAAGTCACAGCAGCAGCAGCTGCTGCAGCAGAAGCAGCAGCTGCAGCAGCAGCAGAAGCAGCAGCTGCAGCAGCCGCTGCTGCAGAAGCAGCAGCAGAAGAAGCAGCGGTAGCAACTGCAGAAGCAGCAGCAGCAGAAGCAGCACAGAAGCAACAAAATCTGCATTCTACTTACAGCGCAGAAGGTGATGTGCGTCATGGAGTTGCTCTTCTCCTCCAAGAAGGGTTTAATCATTTTGCAAGGCCCTGATAAATTAGCAAGCCAAAGCAGCCGCAGAAGCAGCGCAGATAGAGCGACGTAGCAGCAGCAGCAGCAGCAGAAAAAGCAGCAACGAGGACTGGTGGCATTCGCAGCAGCAGCAGCACTGGGAGCAGTAGCAGCACACTGATCAGCTGAAAGCAACGCCAGAGAGAGCAACGGGATTAGCAGCAGCGAGAGCAGCAGCAAGAGCAGCAACAGCAGTACGAACGAAACTTACCACACCACGTTGCAAAGAAATCAACGACCACGAGGCCGCTCTTCGTAACCTCATCGAATTCTGCGAGACAAAACCACAAAATCTGCATCTCAGGAATGCACTGCATGCGGAGCTACGAGGGAGAAAACCACAACAAAGCAATCAAACACAGACACCCCATGCCTCCCCCTCTAAGATGAGCGAAGAGCTGCAACCTGCAGCCACCTCGTCGCAATAGCAGCAGGATCTGTCGATCTTCTTAAGGAGATATTATGCAGAGTGTGCAGCAGTAAAGAGATATGCAAGAAGAGCTGTTTTCGTCATTGGCTGGGTTTAGTTGGGTGTGTGTTAGGAGTCTGCTTCGAGCGCTGCGGCGGCGTTCTTTCCTCATTTTAAGCAGAAAGGGAGAGAAATTGATGGACAAATAAACGTTTAAAAACAAACGAATTGTAAAATAATACTTCAAATATTCACTGACACCGAAAATAAACCCAGACGCCAACACCATGCAAAGCAAAGTGTAGCGCAGACAGACATACCCTCAATGCCTTTGATTGGTTTGACCGGCATCCTGTCAACGAAATAAAGAGAAAATGAGCAAAAGGAGTTCGAAATGAATAGATATAGACACTTTACAAGAAAACAAAAGAACTTAGTTGCATAATGCTACAGCAGCAACGCTTGAGCTCTCCACTGTACGTACACCGCGGCGCGGGTTGCTGACGAGCCCCGCGAAGTGGAAACCTGATATAATTCAGTTAGTATTTTCTTCTTGTGGATTATTATTTAGTAAAACCCAATTGATTTATTATTAATTCTTCTTTTCTCCCTCGTTTCCTCCTTCGAACGGCCTTTTTTTTTGCGTTTCCTCTGTGGGGCCCGCGGCCGTTGGCGTCGATGAGCAGACGAAACTTCTGTTCAGAGCGCTTTATCAAGCGCCTTTCAATTGAAAGGCAGAGAGAAGAAGGAAGAAAGTGCTGAGGACTTCACTGCCAAAATGACAGAAGATGTCCGATTCAACTTCGCGGATGGAGGCATCGATTTCTCCTTCTCGAGCCAAGGGCAGGAGCAGCTGCAGCAGCAGCAGCAACAGCGGCAGTTTCAGTCTCAGCTGCTGCGGCCAGCACAACATGCAGAGGCTCGCAGGAAGCGTAGGCTGGGGGCTGGAGCAGAAGCAGCAGCTGCTGCTGCTGCAGCAGCAACCTCACCTGCAGCAGCCACGCTGCAGCAGTATCAGAAGAGATTGACACAGCAAGGAAAGAAGCACGAACGCAACCTGCAGCTCCTCTTGCGGCACCAAAAACAGCAGCAGGAGGAACAAGACAACTCAGACGACGACAGCAATTTCAGCCGCGTGGCTCGGCTCGCAAGGAGCGTCTCTGCCCGTCAACAGCAGCAGCAGCAACAGCTCGATGCAGCAGTAGAAACCTCTGCTGCAATAGATAAAAAAAAGAAAAAGAAAAAGAAAAAGAAAAAAAAGGAGGCCTCGCTACCGGCTCCAACAGAAAACAGGGAAGAGCTGCCCACGACTCATGAAGCGGCGACGACAAGCGCCGACAGCAGCAGCAGCAGCAGCAGCAGCAATAGCAACAGTATTAACAATAGCAGCAGCAAGAGAAATGTACAGTCCAGCTCTTGTTTACCAGGAGACGAAGACGCATCTCCTCAAGCTGAGCATTCGGAAGGGGAGAAAGAAGAGAATGACGAGGAAGAGCAGCAGCTGCAGCAGCCAAAAAGGAAGAGACAGAGACGGCGAACGCAGCAGCAGCAGCAACAACAGCAGCAGCAGCAGCAGCAACAGGAAGACGGTATGGGTGAGGCTGACGATGAAGGCACGTGGGAGACTGAGCAAAACATAGGCCAAAGCTGGGCAGCCTCCGACTCAGACGTGCAGCAGCAGCAGCAGCAACAGCAGCAGCAGCAGCAGCAGTGGGAGAAGCTACGAGGCAAGACAAAAGGGGGCCGCAGCATTATAATCAAACGCGTGTTTGATGAGGGCAGCGGCACAACTAAGCGAAAGACGAAGACAAGAAGCAGACAAAAAAATATTAAAAACGACAACAGACCCCACAACCTGGTAATTAATTATATTAATATTTATCTTTTCTTTTTTACGTTTAAATATAGTGTAGTAATAGTTTAGTTTATTTATCAACGCATCTTGCAACGTCAACGCTAGGGTTTGTGCTAGGGTTTAGGGTTTATGTCCTGTATTGCTGAACTCAATAACAATGTCTAGAAGCTGCTGCATTATATCCACATTGCCTTCATAGTTTCTTTAGAGGGCTGCTGCTGCTGCTGCTGATACTTCTACTGCTAGGGGGATGTGTTTTTGTTGCAGTTGATCTTTATTAGAGCTGCTGTAGACTTCGCTGCTGCTGCTACTGTTAACTTCACTGCTGCTGCTACTGCTCCTACTGCTGCTGCTGCTTCTGTTTGTTTTGGTGTTCAGAAGCCGACGTACTTATAGCAAAGCAGACGGCGGGGATTTTGTGTTCAGTTTTTTGTCTTTTTCTTCCCCCTTAGACAATTTGATTTTAACAATTGTTTTATTTACATCTGTTTACAAAAGACTCTTTTTTATCTAAGTCTTTTGTTTTCTGCATTCACGAGAATTAAACAAAGAGAGGCAAAGTGCGCAGCTCCATCTTTTCAGATCCTGTCCCCTTAGTGTTTAGGGTTTAGGCCAAAGGTTTAGCGTTTAGGCCTAGGGTTTAGGGTTTAGCATTTACAGGATTAGGAGCTTGTATCTTTGTATATATATATATATATAGGGGTTTATATCTTTATATATATATATATATATATATACATATATATATATATATGTTGAAGGCGGCAGTTAAAAGGCAAACGACCTGCGGCCCTGCGTCCCTTTTGGACGCACGGGGCCCTTGATCAAATATATCTGCTGCCAGTAGAAACACCTGCCAGTGCGCTTTGCTCCTGCTGCTGCTGCTGCTGCTGTCCTTGCTGCTGCTTCTGTTTCTGCTGCTGCAGCTGTTGCTCCTGATGATGATGCTGTTGGTGCTGTTTCTGCTGCTGCTACTGTTGTGGGTATTGCTGCTGCAGCTGTTGCCGTTGTTGCTGACGCTGCTGATGCTGTTGTGGGCGTTGCTGCTGGTGTTGTGCTGCTGCTGCTGCTGCTGCTGCAAGGAGTGGCAGGAGGGAAGAAACAAAATATTCTGCTCAGTTTGTACAATTGCATCACTTGATAGTTTACTTACCCCAACTGTTTTATCCTCTTTCTTTAAAAACAGTAAACACAAACTTTCTCTTTCAATGCGTAAGAATGCAAGTAGAATCTTCTTTTCTCTTTAAAGTAAAGGGCATTTCAAGAGAAAAGAAATAATGTACGCTGCAATATGAAGTGTATTGACTTCAGATCCTTAACTCATTTGCTCTTCTTCTTGCTGACTGTATTCTTCTTCTATTTCTGTTTCGTCTAATGTCTGCCCATGCTCGTTCTGCTCAACGAGGAGACGAAGAGGCCACCTCTTAAAAGGGCAACCCATCTGACCGTAGGCCCAGAAGACTGCGACGACTGTCACCACCATCACTACAAGTTCTGAAGCTCGCTGCAGCCAGAACTCCCTCGTCTTTATTGCTCTCCCTAGAGGCAAATAATACGGTGCGGTCTCTTCGTCCATCGAACGCTGCCGCTCTGCTACTGGTGCTGGAGATGCAGACGCTGCTGTATCTGCTGCTGCTGCAGACGGAGGCTCTGCTGGAGACGCAGCGACACCAGCTGCATCCGCTACCGGCTCAGCAGCTGCATCAGCTTCTGGCTGAGAAAGAACCGTAGCATCAGCAGCATCTTCAACTGTAGCAGCAGTCACAGGAGGTTCTGTGGTAGCTACCTCGGTTGCTGCCTCCTCTCCTACTGCCCCAGAGTTTGCGCTCAGGAAGGAGCAGCGGCAAAGAGAGGGAAAGCAGAGCAGGAGGAACACAAGTTGACGCATTGGCCTTGCCACAGTTGATATAGGCCTGTTTACACTTCAAAAAGGTAAAACTAAACCCAAACGGGACCGGAAGATATGAAGATCGATCCAGAATGCACGCACGTCGTCGAAGAGGTTCCAATGCTGCGGTGTACGTTCAGTCATACTATTGCAAAAAGTCACACAGTATTCGAATGAAACAGCTGTTCATTCATTATTTCACATCAAATGACTATTTTATTCGAAATTCCAAAGGCAAGCTTCTTCACCAGCGAAAATACAAGCAACAGTCGATCACATGCACTCAGCCGCTCTCCAAAGCCGCTGTGGCTCGTGAGCGGGGGAGAACAAACAAAAACAGAAAGGAATAACGATTAAAATAGGCATTTAAATGCTTATAATTCAAGTTTCACCCCATATTAACACTTATACTCACGAGTAAACCGCAAAGGCACCTATACAGCAGATGGAGGGGAGGCAATCATCGTCTCAGCAAAGCCAGCGGTGGGAGCCGAAGGCACTAATGCATGCAAGATGCGAGCGGCAGCATCAATATAAAGTGTTTATTTACAAATTGTTATTTTACTTCATTTTTCTTTCTTATGTAGCTTATTATGGGTCTAAAAGGGGGGAAGTGGGGCTGTTATAGCAACCGGAGTTGTCTTGCACGTTTGCAGCTCAGTGTGTTACACAGAACCCGTCGTGAGTTGTAGCGGAATCAATATACTTTATACACACAAAGCGGCAGTTTGCATTCACGTACACAGCAGCACAAGGACACAACACAGACAGATGATCTTACATGAGTGGCAGCAGCTTTCTATCATGCTGCAGCAAGTGATAAGAGGCAGCGGCAACCCAGCACTACTGCATTATATACAAGTATAGAAAGGCCCAAGCCCCATTATGCTCATTGCAGTAATACTGTAGACACTCTTTCAACATTCCCTGGGCCCTACAATAATACCTAACCTACACTTCAGTAGAAATGCAAAAATACTATAAACATGAAATGCATTTAGAAAGGCAATGCTAAATGTGCTCAGGAATCCTTATCCCGCTAGCAACGAGCCCCTCCATGCCTATACAATGCATGATTACTGCAAAGCAACAGAAATAACACAGTGTGTTGCGGGGTTTCTATCTTATGCGTTTCTTCTTATCACATCTTATCCTGCATTATCTTTTTGCTGTGTTAGCGAATGCATCAATCTACTCCCTCCCTGCAATCTAACGAATGCCAACCCCTAAATCCTAACCCTAAAACAACACTTCTGCCTAAGCCCCTGTTTGGAGTTGCCGATACACCGGTACGCCAAACCACGGAGAAGAAAGTAATGCTGTCTTCTTTCTGGGGGTCCGTACGTCTCAACCCTAAACCTGAAACGTTCAGTCTTATGTCACTTCGCAATGTACAAGAAGAGGAACATAATCGTTCGCTGCTGTTTGCAATTGGAAATATTTAACAAGCGGAAATCTGCTGAACAGTTGAATACTTGTCTGTAAAACAATGGCCGTATGGTACGCATAAGGTGTTCGAAGTTGCATTTGAAACTTTGTACTCAGGTGGGTGCCAGGAAGTGTTTGCATTTGCTACACACTCTGCAAGACAATGTATCAGTACACCACAGCCGTAATATGCTGATGACAGGGCCTTAAATGCAGCCGTTTGTGTGGTTATCTTGGCGAAGCAGTGTGCAGTTACAAACCTAAGAAAGCAGATCTCTGCACTCAGAACCACGCACTGTTGTGAGTTCGTCAAGGACAGTCAGGCAGAGCCCAGTATATTGAAATGTTCAATGCCTGAATGATAAAGTTGAATTCTTCCTGAGGTGTACGGAGGCCATTCATATTTCGTGCGGGCTTCCATGAGTTCAAAAGTCAGCTGTGCGGCAGTCTGCCGGGCACTTCTAACTTTGTTTCTGTATATATGTATGTATATACATATATATATATATATATATAATAGCCACACAATTACCAAACATAAAATTCTGAAAGCCACTGCAAAAGCAAATCCTCATGCTTGTTCTACTGTTATGACGCTGCTGCATGGGCACAGAGGAGAGGCAAGAAGTGTATCTGAAAAACCATAAAGTGCTGGAAGCATTTCTGTCGGTTTCAGATAGGCACGACAGCGCCGACACTCTCGAAATGCCTCATGCTGAAGAAACAGTCGCAATTGAAGTAACAAAACCAACCTCTCCTACGCTGGCGATCCCAATATGGAGGTTTTATACAGCTCAGCATCAGAGCAAACAGGTTTGGGTGTCTGGAAAAGTGTTCCCCCGAATGCAGATTTAAATGGCAGCAGTGCATGCGAGAAGGAGCAGGTCTCATGTATCGATGAGTTGAATGAATTCGGCTGTCTTAGAGTAGAGGCTTTCCGTGGATCTGCCTGCTCTAACACAATGGGGAAAGGTACAGCAGGAATGAGGCAGCTGCCCTCCTTTCCCCCACTGCAAGCAGGAGAACAGCAAACGAATAGACGGAAACTTGCACAGACGGTCTCAGCGAAGGATGAGTTTGCCGCATGATGAAAAAAACAGAAAGCATAGGAGCATCTATCCCAATGCACCCTGTAGTTGAATCTGCACCTCGAAAGGCAACGAATAATACCTGAAATGGCACAAACCCTGAATATTTATTTTAATGCTTTTATATCGAATATATTATCAACTGACATGGTTAGGTACTAGAATACCAAGGATTTACTACCACGTAGAGAGGAATGAGTAGTAATTGACTTTCGGGTAAGTGTTGACTGCTCCAGAAACGCGTGGAAATCAATTAGCTATTACCTCTTTAGCAGCTGATTTGTAGGTACCACTCAGCAATACGCGCCACTTCATCAAGTTAGTACACACCGGGAAGAAAGGAAGCCTAAATGCATGGGCAGTATTTTGTCTTTAAAGAAGGGAGCACACAGCAGCATCATTGTCGATTCAAACATAAAAAACATCAGAAAACCTGTTGCTCTAAGCCTCATTGACAATGCGTACACTCAGCAGCCAGTTATCTTGTCTGTGCAATAACTGCAAGGCTCGGCGGTTCAGAGCAGACTGATCGAGCCTCATACGATTATATATTTGTATATGGGCTTACATATAAACAGAGTGAGAGAGAGAGAGAGAGAGAGAGAGAGAAGGAGAGGCAGAGAGAGAGAGCCTTGAACGTCCACCGGTCTGTCTCGTTTCTACGCGGGTAGTGAGAACAGAGGAGCACCCGTATGGATACTTGTATTGCAACTTATCGTGATACACTGCATTGACAAATTCAGAATGGACGGTTCGGTGGGGCTGCCAGCCTCAGACATGGCGCTGACTAGTGAGTCGAGCTTTCTTCTCTGCCTGGCGAAGCTTCTTCGGGCAAACAGGATCAACAACAATGCAAATAAGTAAAGATCCCCCAGAGTCTTAAATTCATGCGCTTTGAAGGCAAGATGAGCCTAAAATACCAAACCGAGACCTAAACATATGTATGCTCACATTGGAAGAACACGCGTAGGATTGCGGTGCTACGTTTCCTTTTAATAAAAACGAGCTTTATTTCCTCTCAGCACGTCACCACAAAACATGGGCTATTGCCTGTGTAACACGAGTAGGTCATGAAGCGAGCACCTGTGAACGTAGTTCAACTTTCTTGAACAGAGTTCAATGTTGCTGAAAAAGCGGATTACTGGGCACACCAGCACTGCGTTTCGGCACAGCGAGTTTGCCACTGTGTTACTATCCGAAACTCGCTTACACAGAGCTTGAGCAGCGGCAGTTCTGGCAAGAAAGCACAAGATTTGGCACTGTAGGGTTGATCCTAGAACAAGGGCAGACTCCCGTGCAACCGTCCGTCATGAGCCGCCCGCCATGAACGCGAGGCAACAAGTCACTTGGTGAGATGAGTAAGCTCTTCATACACGATGACGTTTCGGGGGTGGTGGTTCAAAATGTATACACTTCAGGAAGGCGCACCAGTGGAAAAATCAACTTGCAAAAGGCGCCCGAGTGCATCTGCATTCAGCTTCGTTTCCCCTTCCCGCCTGACTTTTTGTCAGACGGCTCATCTACAATATCGAGCTCCCTGTGCTGCACGCACTGCCCGTTTTCGTAAAAGTATCCCTGCAAACAGACGAAAGCAAAGACGTTTCAGAGGACGTATCTGGTAGGCATGCTAACAAGAAGGCATGGTGGTGACAGCACATGGCATCGAGCTATGCATCTAGGTGCACTGGAACAAGAAATGTGTAAAAGAATTATAATTATTATAAGAATTGCAAAGCAGAGTGGGCAGTTGCCCTACCCCAAGGCATGTGAACGATGGAGCGACCTCCATGAAGCATCCACCTTCTTTGTTTGCAGTAAATCCTTCTGGGCACTGCACTAGGGGCTTCCGTTTTTCCTGCCGGTAGCACATGTCCATGTCGCGAACTTGCAGCGGAGATGTAAGAGGTTTCTTATGATCTTTTAATTCAGTTCTGTAGACTTGCGGACCCATGCGCGTCGGAAAGCCGAATAATCCTGTGACTGGGTCTAAATATCTCTGTTCTCGAGGCAAAGGATGGCCTTTTTTCTTTCCAGCCGCTTTCTCTGCTGCACGAGCAGTAGCCGCTTCCATCCTTAGCTGGTGCACAGGATCGTTGATGTGCCTCCACTGGTTAACGCCCATGATGAAATATGCATATGGCAGCTTCGTGACGTTAAGTCGCCGAGGAGAGTTGTTCCCACTGTTTTTGCTTTTTACAGGCATTTCTGCCGTTTCCGGATGCAGCAGTATCTTGGCGTTTCGTCCGTATCCTGCATCTAATTGCGCATCCTTCATGCGGGTTGCTGAAGGCTCACTGCTTGCAGGCACACCTGAGTGCTTGTGTTCCCCAGCTTCAACGGAGTCGGAGTGTGCTGAAGTGGCCTCAAACGGCCTACGCATCCTAAGCATGCGCGACACACCCTCCCCAGATTCCCTGAGCGACGGTGGACTTTTGAGTGCGTTGACTACCCCGTCGTCTTTCCTGTTTAAATCATCCATTACATGCGGCACCTGATAGTTGGGCGAAGGATCTAAATATTCCCCAGTAGCATCAGCAGCAGTCCCACTACGGCTTGAGACGACGCCAAATTGACAACCCGCTTCAGATTCACTTACAGCTGCTGAGTTCTCAATAACATTATTGACTACTGGCGAGACTGACTCCAAGCGCCTGTGCCATTGCTGCCGTCCTCCCGCCTCCTCGCTCCCTGCGGTATTTCGTCTACTTCGTGAGCCTCCCCGATCTATCTCTTCCTCTGCACCACCCTGGCGTCCAGCCGATAACCTGTTTGAACCCATCGCCTGCGCTTGCACCTTTCTCCAACTGTTCTGCGTGCTGCCCTGTTGATCCGCCTCAGTCTGCCGCCCTACGCTGCTGCCTTTCCCCTCATCAGAAATGTCTCCTCCTCCCGCAACTCGCACCAATGTCCGGCCTTGAGGCTGCGGCGATCGCGAACCGTCCTCTCTATCCCTTGAACCTTCTCTCACTTTATTAGGGCCATGCCCCTCTGCTGCGGCGTTCGCTTGCGCCGGCCAGCTGCGGCGCTGCTGCTGCCCTCCCGCCTGTCGACCACCTGCTGCATTTCCTCTGCT